TATATATATATATATATATATATATATATATATATATATATATATATATATATATATATATATATATATATATGCATAAAAGTACGTTGTGGACACTCCTGGGAATGACACTTGACATAAAAAAATTTTTTGGAATTTAGTAAGGAAGTGAACACCGAAGAAAAGCTACGAATTGGTAAGGAAAACAAGAACCAGAAGAAACATCTAGGTGACGACGACGAATTGCCTGGTGAACCAGATCCAGATACAATCTTTAAAATGGATGAAATAGGGAATTTCGAACCAAAAGAGATACAGTGGCAGCCAGGAAATTATGGTATTCGGTTAATGATTCAATCAATATTATATTTTTTTGGGAAATCGGCCATCCTGCTTTGCAGTCTCAAAGACTTGACTCTAATACTGCTGTTTCGATTATAAATCTCGAACGAAGAAGAATGAGTTTCTGTGTTTTTATTTCAGTTTATTTGAAATTTTACTTTCAGGGGAAATGGGTAAACCAGTCTTTGTAGATAAAAATTTACCAGAAGTAAAAAAAGCGATGAGAGAATACGGTTTCAACACTTACGTGAGCGACATGATTTCCTTGAATAGAAGTATACCTGATGTAAGGTTGGATGAGTAAGTGTTATGATCTAGCGGAAGATCAAGAATGTAGTGTACGTGAAGGTTTCACCTTTTATTATAGAGATTTTTAACTTTTTTCTCGGTTATTCAAGAAGTATGTTCAATCCTTTCCCTTTACTTTGCATTAAGTTTCTTTCCTGGTAAAAGTGTTTTTTTTAAGATGCAAATATTGGCATTATCCGGAAGATTTACCCAGTGCAAGTGTTGTCATTGCTTTTCATAACGAAGGTTGGACACCACTGCTGCGTACTGTCCATTCTGTTTTATTACGTTCTCCATCACAGCTGATCAAAGAAATCATCCTGGTTGATGATTTTAGTGATAAAGGTCACTTTTTATTTAACGACATTTATTATTGAGAGTATTGCCAGTCCAAAAGATATTTGGTAACGATAGGAACTTCCCAGAAGAGCTTAAAATTTGACAATGTATGCAAATAAGTTGTGTGTTTTAATAAGTAGTTAACGCATCCCAATAGATTATAACATACAATATGTGATAACAAAATACGTCACTACTAGCACCATTAAATATGCGGCCATTGCCTAAGATGACTTTTCCCTTAAAATCTTCCCTGAAAATCAGTGAATTCTTGTAGTTTATCCTTCACACAACTTCAAAAGCCACTTGGATCGCAAGTTTTTTTCAAGCACTCTTAAATACTATTAATATGAGGTGAATTAATATGAGTTCTGCGTGACTTTATTCTTTTAGTACTTTGTTGTGAATCATCGATATTGTCTGGCTAACTATGGTACTTTTTCGTCATGGTCTGTTTTATGGATTTTTGTTGCTCTTATCACTTCTCGATAGAATTTTTTTTAGTAGTTCGATAGGATTTTTTTTAGTACTTTTTAGTTTTTTTAGTAGTACAGAATTTTTTTTAGTAGTTATAAGCATTATTCCTTTCATAAGCAGTTCAGAGCTCCTCGGTACATTATTTGGATAACAATTTAGCTGCAGTACTTTTTGCTAACCAAACTTTGGTAGAACCAGAGCTTACAACCTAATTATATGAGGCAAATGGTACTTCTTTGATTATGGCTTCAAGTAATAGTTCTGAAAAGGAATTCAATAATTCCTTTGAAGAAAATTTTTCTGTTTATGAAAATATTGGAACTCTCCAAACTGCAGGCAGTATCATTTCGGAAATTCTCGGTTACATTGCTGTTCCATGAAACTTTGTTATCATTAGGCATGCAATACGGTTGTTTTAGCTGAGGTATCGATAGACTGAGCACTTGTACACAAAGATTTCCTCATCAGTATATTGCTAGTGTCACCTTACTTTTCAGTTCGAAATCTTAGCTTATTACCTGAAACTGTGATTTAAATATTTTAAGTGTAATTGAAATTTTTTCAGTTTGCAAGTGATTTTCACCATTTTTGAGGAGTAATGAGAATGTAATGCAAAAACAATGTGCTTTTATCAAAATAGTGTCATCGTTAATTAAATTACCAGTAATTTATGCAGTAAATATTGTACTTCTCAGAGCATCTAAAAGATCGTTTGGAACGTTACCTGAAGCAATTCCGTGGAAAAGTAAAGTTAATTCGGAACGCTGAGCGCGAAGGACTTATCCGTACGCGGAGTATAGGAGCGAAGGAAGCAGTCGGTGACGTAGTTGTATTTCTAGATGCGCACTGTGAGGTAAACATTAATTGGTTACCTCCACTTCTGGCACCAATACGTCAGAACAGGTAAGCCAGGTCTATGAGTATTTAGAATGTATTGATTTCCAGATATTTCGTGGCTGTGTTGCTAAGCCGGATAATGAAACCTATTAGTGGTACATAATGAAACTTATTACATAAATCGTTTTTCCTTATTTCTTTTGTTTTTGTTTTTTTTTCTTTTTTTTTCCAATGGTCAGTGCATATATGGAATGACTTGTTTTTTATGATTCAAATAGATTCTTATTGTAAATTAGTCCACACTTTCAGATTATTTTAGCTCGTTTTATGTAAAATATATATAAGCAGTTTATTGCATTGTATGTTTTCTCTGATTCGGAAATATTTCGGAAATATTAATTCTCTTATCGAGAAATCTAGACTTCTTTTTGCTTATTAAATATCGTATGTGGTTTCGTTTTCAGAAAAGTTATGACAGTACCAGTTATAGATGGCATTGACAAGGATGACTGGTCTTATCGGATAGTTTACAGCTCTGTGGATAAGCATTATCGGTTCTTTGATATTTTCATACCTTATTCATTTTTGTTCTTAATGTTGTAATGGGAAATTTGTATGAAAGCTGGATTTTAATATTTGATGTAGGTTATTTAATTTCCAAAAAATTTTCCCTTCAGAGGTATTTTCGAATGGGGGCTTTTATACAAAGAAACCGAGATACCGGCTCAAGAATTATTACGAAGAAAGCACAGTAGTGAACCATTCAGGTCATGATTTTTTGATTTTTCTCACGAAGTTTTGTTTTGTAGCGCTCGGATTACTCATGTTTCTTTGAAGTGTTCTTTATTTTTGGAGTTTTCCAGGTCTCCAACTCATGCAGGTGGCTTATTTGCCATTAGTAAGAAATGGTTCGAAGAACTAGGTTATTATGATCCTGGATTGCAAATATGGGGGGGCGAACAATATGAGCTTTCTTTCAAAGTTAGTTTTTTGGATCATGAGAAGTGCGTAGACCTTTGATATTTCCTGAATTAAGATATCAATTCCTACTTATGAAATTTTCATTTTTTTTTCTATATCAAAACTAAAAAACAAAAATGCAGATCTGGCAATGCGGAGGTGGGATTTTGTTTATACCGTGCTCGCATGTTGGTCACGTGTACCGATCACATATGCCTTATGGTTTCGGAAAGCTCTCCGGAAAACCAGTTATTTCAACTGCAAGTATTTTGTAATTACAAGGATTTTTTGCTGCAAGAGCTTCTTTGCTGATATCTATTTTAAATCTGCATTAAAAATGTTGCAGAATATGTTGCGTGTCATAAAAACTTGGATGGATGAATATGAAAAGTACTATTATATCCGGGAGCCATCGGCAAAGCATCGCTTACCGGGTGACATAAGTTCACAGCTCAAACTTAGGGAAAGACTGAAGTGTAAATCGTTTGAATGGTAATTTTATAATTTAAAAATTCACCATTTATTTTACATTGGCTTTGTTACTCTGTGTTTATCATCACAGTGACGTAGGCCAAACAACCTTTCAGATTTCTTCTGAACGTTGCGATTCTGAATTTCTTATAATTTTGTTTTAGCATTTCTAAAAACTTTAGGTATATGGAAAAAGTTGCTTACGATGTTATTGTGTCTTATCCCCTTCCACCGGAAAATCACGTTTGGGGCGAAGCAAAAAATCACGCCACGGGTATTTCTTTTACTCAGCTTTCTTTATTTTATTTTATAACTTTTTTTATTAGACTATTTTTTTTAATGTTTATAAATAGTTTTTGAATTTTGCAGTTTTATTCCCATTTTCAGCTAAATTTCCTGTATTCTTCTGTCGAATTTTTTTGACGTTTTATTCAAGCTTGTTTCATTAGCGCTACGACCTTTTACTCAGCTTTCTTTATTTTATTTTATAACTTTTTTTATTGGACTATGTTTTTTTTTTATTGGACTATCATTTCATGATATAATTTGAAGCGCACCGTCTTATTTAGGATTTTAATTTGTTGCAATAAGATTGCTTAAAGGATGAGATTTCCTGATTTTTGCATTATTTAATTTATATTGCATTTTTAGGAAAGTGTATTGACACGATAGGCCAAACTATACCAGGTATTGTTGGTGCAATGCCCTGTCATGGTTATGGTGGGAATCAGGTAGGACGAGTTAAAATTTTGATTTTTCTTACTTCATTCATGTTTCAATATTGATGAGATATTTGATTTTCCAAAAATTGGTGATGTTTTATTTTCCAGAACTTATTATTTTGTTTACTATTTTGTTTTTATTTAATGTATAAAACAGCAGAAGCCTTTCGTTCTTTTAGTCGTTCTTTTATTTACTCCGACTAATACAACTGAAGAAATCTATTTTCAAGTTAATTAGACTGAACAAGGAAGGACAACTTACACAGGGCGAATGGTGTATAACTCCTGTAGGTGGAAATTTAGTTACAAAGTATTGCGTAAAAGGAACAGTTGATGGACCCTTTGCTTATGATGAAGTGAGTTTTTTTTTTTTTTTCTATTGTTTATATCGATCAGGACAATAGTCTTCCTTCGTTGAGGGCTTGCTATTAACACCTATACTCATTATACAGAAATTTTAGTACTTCCAGAATGATGCAAAAATTTTGTATGTCTAGAAAAGCGAGCAAATAATGATCGATGACTTGTGCTTGACAGCAGCTAAATCCATGTCCAGTCCAACGTTATCAATGGAAAAATGTGATTCGGGAAATCAGTGGCAGAAATGGAAATGGCAAGAAATATATATCGACTGATTAGTTTGTTTATCTGTTCAAGAACTGTCTTCAACCATTATATCATTTTGACAACCAATATATCATGTTGAACGACTTTTCATACAATTTATTCTGGAATAAAGGAATTACGAATTATTCTAGAGAAGAATTCTCTATATGAAATAGACATGGAATCAATATCTTTTACCTTTCTGATTAGCTTATGGGAAAATGCAGTTATAAATAACCAATGGCAAAAAAGCTTATGGGAAAATGCAGTTAT